TGGCTCTGCCACTTTACCCTTCCGTGTGTGGACTTCTCTTCTTCCCCAGGGGTAGGTGGTCTGTCCTGCAGTCTTCAGGTCCTTTTCAGGGTTAGCTGTATTTGCTGTAGTTTCTTCCTTGGAGTGTGTGTGGGAGGCGGTTTCTGCCTTGCCTTCCTACTCTGCCATCTTTCCCCTTCCCAACTTTATATATTTAATTTTAAACTAATAATTCATTTTACAGACTTGTCTGAAACACTTCACCACCCTAGTTTAAGAATTTAAGGCAATAATACCACTTAAAACTTTAAACATCTTAGGGAGTAAACATAATTTGAACAATAATCTTGTGTCCTAAAATTTTTGTAATCTTTTGACCACAAAATATTTGTTATAGAAATTTGGAATATATTTAAATAATACAAAGAGAGATAAAATCACCTCTGATTTCTCCAGAGAAATCTGTTTTGGTGTGTATGAATCCTTTTTTCCATAATATTTTATTTGAAAAAGTTGTAATCATATAATGTATTATTTTATAACATAGCTAAACCTTATAGGGTACATTTGCTTCTTGTGGGGTGTTTTGTTTGTTTTAGTTTTTTTTTTTTTAACTTGGGAATAAGTGCATAATTTAACTTTTTGTTAACATCTTCCCTCAGGATGCCTCATTTGAGGGATGTGTAGTAATAAGGGAAGGAAAAGCATTGGGTTACCTTCCTTAAGGTAACCTCACTGAGTACTCACCAAAGTATGTGCCTATCCAGGATGGCCTAGGTTGAGCAGGCAATTTGAAGATTCTTTCCTATTAGCAGTGTCTCCTCAGTACGTTAATAGAATAAGTTCACATATTATTATTTTAGGCATCTGAATTTGTTTTGCAACCTCTGGAGAGGTGATTTAAATGAAATGTGGTTGGACTATATTTATATTTATATTCCTTTAAAGTGAAATTCATACAATTAGAAAAAACTGTTTGTACTTCTACTTCATGTTTAAGCAAATTTAGATGTCATAAGATATCAAAACTGTCCTAACAGCTCTCTTCTTGTGATAGATCTTTATATTTCTGAGTCATTTTCAGCCACAGAGTTCTTAAGTCTGATGTAGATTTCATGACAGATTAAATGCTTATTTTTGGTGATTCCACCTGTTTTAGCTGTTTGGATTAGTAGTATATACATTTTATAATTTTGTGATAGAGGGTCAAATACTAAGTCTATGAAGTTGATAGAATCATACCTTAATATGATTTTCTTTGTACTAGCAAAGGTGCAAATGCCTCCAGGAAAATGGAGTAATTAAACATCACACTACAATAATCTAATTATTACATGATGGTGGTAATCTTGAGTTAATTAGAAAATTTTGGTGGTTTTTGCATTGTGCTGTCTTGGTAAAGATATGCCCACATATGCCACATGCCCAAGTTCAGGACTCGGATCTGTTCTGTCCAGCATATAGCACATCATGAGTTTTAATCCCTCCACAAAACCTGGAGAGAATCTTTTTTGAATCTGAGGATATCCTGTTAATGTTACCAGCTGCCCAAGTTGAGCAGAGTCAAATGAACACATATTTTGTGTGCCTTAGCAGTCTATAGCCCAAGAATTCACCTTGTGCTCACACTCTTTTGAGCTCCCTGAGGATAAAAGGTCCCAGTTGGCCTCCAGGGTCTGCTTCCCAGTGGTTTAACCAGACAAATCTAGACAGGGGGACTTTGGAGTACATATTTTTCTTGGAAGTACTTTTTGTGTTTGAAGCGTTTCAAAAACAGATGCTGGTGTACATTTATGAGGCAAGATAAAGTCAGAAGGAAGTAATGTTGAGGAAGTTTACCCATTGAAGGGCCAAGGCCAATGTGAGTCTGAGTTTAATCCTAACTATGTTGCTCTGTGACTTTGGGAAGTCATTTCACCTCCAAGCCTCATTCCACATCTAAGAACAGATCATGATCTCTTCCTTACAAGAGTATTGTGAAGATTAAATGAAATTATGTATGTGAAGCTGCCTAACACAGTGTTTACAGCACAGTAGGTCCTTGATCATTGTTAGTTTCTTCGTGCTGTTTATTTGCTCACTGGATTGTGTTGCTGAGTAATTACTTGCATGATCAACATTAGTGCCCTTGTTCTTGTGCATTCAGAAATCTCCCATAGCTTCTTCATTACACCTTGAATATAAAATTATAGAATTTGACAGAACAGATTTCTGGGAAACCAAGGCCCAGAAAGGTATGTGGTACATCGCACTAATGGATTAAAAGCAAACCTTGGACTAAAACACAGTTCTTAACACTCAGTCCTTTCCACCATGCCAGTAGGTGATGCTTTCTTGTTTTTATGATGGGTATGGACATGTTATATGATCTGTTTTTATATTGACTCTTAAATTACAGGTCTGGAGAAATATCTTATAAAATAAAGCTTCAAGTAATTGAGCAATGTGTAAATTCAGTTCATGCAATAAGCCATCATTATGAAAGTTAGTTTGATTTTTCAGTAGATTACCAAACCATTGAGGCACAGTTGCCTATAACTGTTTAGTGACTTCAGAATAATTGTGCTGCTGTCAGGAAATTGTGTGATTTTGAATGGTAATATCTGTTTGTGTTGTAATTTTAAATGTGATAAATCTTATCTTTTTGGTTAATTCTTTTTTCCTATTTATTTAAAACTTAATTCTGTGTTGCATACAATATTAAATTTTGAGCTAACTGATATGGTTCATATTCTAGGGAAATATGGTTCTGGATTTTCTTGGAATTCATCTACCTGTCTACAGACATTTACACTGTTTCAGTTGTGACTCCTTTCTCTGTAAGAAGCACAAGGCAGACCGTTTGGGAGGGGTCCTTTTTGGTTACTTCAAAAAGCATTTAAGACAGTCTTCTTACCATATAAAGAGCACCTATAAATAAAGAACAGAGGAAAGAAAAACAGTCCAGTTGAAAAAATAGGGGCTTTATGTAAAAGGATAAACTCACCTAAACTCTTCAGACCAGGGGGAGAGGAGTACACACCCTGACTCTGGACTGCATGGCTGCAGGTCTTGACTCCGTCACTTACTAGTTTGAGCAAATTTTTAAAATCTCTGTCTCTATTTCCTTGTCTATGAAGTGAGGATTAAATGAATTGATAAGTGCAAAATACTTAGAACAGTGCTTGGCACACAGATGGTCAAGAAGCATCAGTTGTTATTATTGCTATCATTTTGATTATTTTTTAAAATGATGCCCAACCTCACTCATCATAAGAGAAATTTAAGTTTAAACAAAACCAAGACACGATGATGATACACTGTGGTGTATATCAGTAATATATGTAACAATTATTGCAGTATTGTTCCTGTTAGAAAAAGACTCAAACTGAGTTAAATGTCTCTCAGTAGAAACAGGCCAGTTGTTAAATCAATGTAATAGAATGCTGTACGGTACCACTGAAAAGAAATGAAGTCTGCCTCTACTAATATAGACTGATTTTTCCAAGATGTGTGGTTAAATAAGGGAAAAAAGGCTTTGACATACATATAATGCTTATGTAAGTATACATTTATCTCTGGAAAGAAAAACAACTGTTAACTGATAATGGTGGTTGCCTTTGGGAAGGAGGGGTTCAGGGGTGATGGTAGGGAGACTTACTTTCCTATACCCCTTTGTACCATATGAAACAAAAATTCTTTAACATGTTTATGTATTGGTTTTTATCCTCTCCCCAGATCCTTAACCTCTTCCCACCAACACACACACACACTATGCAAGCACACTTTTCAGAATGTTCGAATGTTATTCCAGGAGTCTGGCTGTGCAATGATAGGAAATAGGCCGTCCTGATGGTGTTTAGGCCCATTAAATATTTGGTGTGATGCTGCGGGCCTAGTGGGCACCTGATCCTTGTCATCCAAGTTGGTGCTTATGGGGAAAGTCTCTGGATGGTGGAAACTGAGGCCTTGGCTAAGTATGTCCAAGCCTCAAGGCTGTCTCTATACAGGTTCTGTCAAAGGTAGTGGAGTCAGAAAGACCTTGGTCTCAAGCTTGCCTCTCTTGGCTATTTTTAGAGGTTTAAGGAAGAGGGTGAGTAGGAAGTAACTTGAGGAGTTCCATACCTCCTTAGGAAACCCTGGTTGTGTCAACTGCTTAGTTCTATTTCCATTTCCATAGATCAGAGCCAGGAAACTCATTTGGCACAATAGAGCTTTGTGTTTATACAGCCCCTTGAATTTATAGAAATACTTTTTAGCCCTAGAAGAGTGGAGCCATGACCAGGATTCTTTGTGTAAGACTCCTTAAACAGATCAGGTTTAGAGTTTTATGGAAATTAATACCTATCTCTGCTTTTCATAGGGTACTGTTTAAGCTAACTTACTCTCATTATATGATTATTAGCTCTAACACCAAAATTAGGGTAAATTGTCTTGCCTTTGTTCATATGTTAACTTCTCAGTGTGAAATGAAAAACAATTTGTATGTATATAGAAAATGTCATATACATAAGAATCAGAATATTATTATTTCTTTTATGATTTCATCCAGCAAATCTTAGGATAGTGCTTCTTAATATTCTTAATACTTTTGCCACTCTAGACTATCTGAGGGGTGTCCTATTCCTATAATTAAACAGAGGCTCAGTGTGGCAGAGGTTTTTTTGTAAGGGGTAGTGGTCTTTCAGTGTTAGGGGTGATAGCAGGAGATTGGTGAGGTAGTGGTAATGATTCTGATTTTTAGCTCACACACACACAGTCTGTCTTTCTCTCCCACTTACTCCCTCTCCTTCCCTTCCCCTCCATCCACCCTGTCTCCTAGTTGAGAATTAAGTGTCTTAGACAAACTAGTACCTTTAACTTTATCTCAGTACCTGAAGAAAAAATACCTGGTGAGAGACCCTGGTTTCATCCAGTTAGCATGTCTTCTCTCCACTCTCTGCTGTCTGATTGTGTATAAGCATATGCATAACAGAGAAGCACAGGCTTACAAGCAGGCAAGACAAACAATTGGTTCCAGCAAGTTGTTCCTTCTATTACAGGAAAAGGCTCAGATCTGAAGGTAGAGGAATGATTGGACGTGTTGCTGGGGAAAGTGAGCTTTCCATTTAACCAAAGGTAGGTAGTTTATTCTGGAATTAATTTTTGTTTCCTTTCATTAATATATCGCCATTCTTTAGTTAAGTGGTTATTTGTCTTGGAATCCTTTTGTTTGTTACAGCAGAGATGTTGGCTTATTAATAAGAATTACTTGAAGCCAGAGTCATGGTGGATGTAGGGAAGTGGCCAATCTTTACTCTGCTCTCACCTCAAGAAATTGCTTGTATTCGAAAAGCCTGTGTCTTTGGTACCTCTGCCAATGAAGCACTCTATGTCACTGACAGTGATGAGGTAAGCATCTCCAAAGACCCGGAGGGTGCTTTCAGGGAGTGAGTTTTAAAGTGTACATTTTGAAGATTGAGAAAAGGTTGCAGCCTGCATGATTGTCCCAAAATGTAAATTTAATCCTTATTAATCTCTGTTTTGAAATACTTCAGTGGAAGATGCATTCTACTTTTCCTGGCACTTTATCCCTTTTGGCAGGCCTTACCTTTCCTTCAGGCTTATCTCTCCTTCTGCTTTCCCAGATGTGTCTAGCCCGGCCCACCTCCTAGTCTTCTGAAAAGGTGGGGATAAAGAGAATCTCAAATTCAAGAAGACTGTACCTTTGATATAATTCTCTCTTTTTTCAGTTTCTTGATTTAATATCTTACTATTCCCTACTACTCTTTGAATTTTATAGGATAGCCAGCTATTCTAAAACTTGAGTAATATCAGCAGGGGTTGAATTTTTCTTATTAACCTGATTAGTCTCTTCCTACCTGCTGAGTTGTCAAACTGAATTTGAGTGTGTCTTATTTTCAGAGCAGAAAAGTGAGACTTTGTGTAACACTGGTCAAGCAACTCAGAAAAAAAACTGTTTTCTAGGTCTTTGTATTTGGACTGAACTATAGTAACTGTCTAGGAACTGGAGATAACCAGAGTATACTGGTACCCAAAAAGTTGGAAGCCTTGTGTGGAAAGAAGATTAAAAGCCTTAGTTATGGGAGTGGACCACATGTTCTTCTCAGCACTGAAGGTAAAGAGGAAACAAAGCCAGCTTATGGGAAATCGAGCCAGTTAATTCTAAGCTAAGGGGAGGGGCTGCATCAAATAATTAATTTCAAGTGGTTTGTTCCTTACTTTCTGAGGGTAAGTAAACACAGCTGGTAAAAGTTAAAAACCTCAGGCTAACTCTGAAACAGCTGTAGCGTGACCTACAAATTAAGCAGACTTGGGAGGTTCAGGTTACTGATGTGAAGCAGTGGAAGGTTGGGTTGAGCAAGCAGTGGTCCTTCAGCCTAATTTCTCAGTGGATTTGTGGTAGCAAGGCAGCTTCCAGGTTTTACTTGATACATTTTTACAACCACAGGTAATGATGGTTTTCCTTTCTTTGTGTAGTTCCTAAATCTGAAATTTAATAAATCTTCATTTATTCCCTGGCATTCATGTGGTTGCCATGTGGAAAGAAAGTGGGATAGATTGTTCTCCTTTTTCTCACTGCATCCCCAAGGTCACTGGGGAAGGACACTATACATTCTTCCTTGGCAATTTATCTGTACTGTGGGCAACCAGAACTCTCTGAAAATGTTGTATATGACCTACGCTCTTTCCCTTATATTTTAGGCACATTAGCTGTTGCTGTCTTCCTAGCACATATCCTAGGTTCTGTGTTGGGTAATCCTATATGGTTGCATTTGGGACACAGTGTTCATCTCTGCCTTTCTATCTCCAGACTGGGGAGCCACAGCCCCCTTGGTTGTTGCAAGAGGTGTTAGTATTGAGTTTTTTTTTTTCTGGTATCATTAATATACAATTACATGGGCAACAATGTAGTTACTAGATTCCCCCCATTATCAAGTCCCTACCACATACCCCATTACAGTCCCTGTCCATCAGCGTAGTAAGATGCTATAGAATCACTACTTGTCTTCTCTGTGCTATACTGCCTTCCCCGTGTTCCCCCATCCCCCAGTACATTATGTGTGCTAATCATAATGCCCCTAATTCCCCTTCTCCCTCCCTTCCCACTCAACGCCCCCAGTCCCTTTCCCTTTGGCAACTGTTAGTCCATTCTTGTTTCTGTGAGTCTGCTGCTGTTTTGTTCCTTTGGTTTTTTTCCTTGTTCTTATGCTCCACAGATGAGTGAAATCATTTGATAATTGTCTTTCTCCACCTGGTTTATTTCAGTGAGCTCCATCCATGTTGTTGCAAATGGTAGGATTTCTTTTCCTCTTATGGCTGAATAATATTCCATTGTGTATATGTACCACATCTTCTTTATCCATTCATCTACTGATGAACATTTAGGTTGCTTCCATTTCTTGGCTATTGTAAATAGTGCTGCGATAAACGTGGGGTGCATATGCCTTTTTAAGACTGTGAAACTGCATTCTTAGTGTAAATTCATTAGTATATAGGAATGCAACAGATATCTGTATATTAATTTTGTATCCTGCAACTTTGATGAATTCAGATATTAGATCTAGTTTGTTTTTGAGAGGCTTCTCTAGAGTTTTTTATGTACAGTGTCATGTCATCTGCAAACAGTAACAGTTTGACTTCTTCCTTGTCAGTCTGGATGCCTTTTATTTCTTTGTATTGTCTGATAGCTGTGGCTAGGAACTCCAGAACTGTGTTGAATTAAAGTGGGGAGAGTGGGCATCCTTGTCTTGTTCCAATCTTAAAGGAAAAGCCTTCAGCTTCTCGCTGTTAAGTATAATGTTGGCTGTGGGTTTGTCATATAAGTATTGAGCTTTTTAACTGCCTGTAAGTAATACCTGCATCCACTCCAGAGCGTCTGCATCTTTCTTAAGCTGTGAGATCCAGATCTGAGCATGATTGACTAGTGACAGTATAGGTGATGTTGAACACAATGATTATCTCATGCCCATCCTATGTGATCCTGTCTCTTCGTGTCACAGCTCCTACTTTACTGACTGGTTCAAATGTCATCTGGTGTGACCTAGTGATTTCATTTTTTCCTAACACATACCATTTTAACACATAGCACTTTTAGTAATTGATTTCTGACTGTAAAAGTCAGAGGCAGTTTTTTTTTAGAGCAAACATACTTAAACATACACATTCATTTTTCTTATTTTCTTCAAAGTGGTAGTGATAGGAAATTATAATTCTTCTTTTGGTATTATTTTCAGAGTCCAGATCTTAGAGTTTTAACACCTGGAGTATTATGATTAAGGTATAAATAAACAAAGCGTAAAAATACAAGTATAAATAACTGATTTTCTTGTAGGAGTATTTTCTTTTTGCATTTTATTCAGCTATAATACATTGTACACAGTATAGGATATAGATTAAACATGCTATACATTATATGTATGTATAATACCTGTATTTATGTGTATTATGTATTTATTACAATCAAATAGTTTTAAAACAATTTAACACTTAAAAGCATAAAATAGTTTATAGCTTCTAGTCAAAAGCAGCAGTCTGCCTCACCCCTCCTCTTAGAAATTGCTCTTCAGAAGGAACCACTTTTAATTCATTCACAGTCTATTTTTTTATTTTCATATCATTAATCTACAGTTACATGAAGGACATTATATTTACTAGGCTCCCCCTTTCACCAAGTCCCCCCCACATCCCCGTTCACAGTCACTGTCCATCAACATAGTAAGATGCTGTAAAATCACTACTTGTCTTCTCTG